TATTCATTTTATAGATAGAAACCCAGGAACACTTAGAGGATAGTTTCTTGTCCAAGAATGTACAACTCAGCTCTGACTTATGCCATATCTGACTCTTATTCATTATCCTAACCATTGCTAGTTTATGTGTTTAGTGACTGCAAGCCTAAATACGGAAAACTCGAGGCTCTTTATTCTTTGAGTAAAGGCTTTGGATTTTTCTAATACTTTATGGAGCTTTGCAGCCGTATCTCAATTATTTTATAAAGGTCCCTTGGCCTGGTCCCCGCCCCCCGTGGCGGGGGTTGGGGAGTGGGAAGGGTGCTAGCCTTTTTTTTTTTTTTTTAGCAATGCAATTTCTCTTTGTGACATATGAACCCAAGATCTTGGGAAACACACTGGTCAAGTAAAGGGAAATGTTCGAGATTATGCCCTATGATTAAGATTATGCTTGTTGGGAAAGACAGGGTAGGAAATTTCACATTGCTTTCTGGTTCTTAACAAACGAGAGCCAAACAATGTCCTATTTCAAAAAAAATCTGAAATGAATTTTTAAATTTCATAAAACAGAGTTAAACCAAACAGATAGTAGCTCCCGCTGATTTTCTTTACTGAAGAAGTGACAGAGAATTCTAAAGTCTCATTTGATAAGAGATAAAACTGAAATTATTAACATCACCACAGAAATGCTAAACGCCTCCTTAGAATTAGCGTCCGCCTAGGTAGGTTTTATCCTGTCCTCAAACAAACCAAATTTGTTGGTGTTTTTCCAGACAACGTTGTATCGTTTTGGGTTTGGCTTGATCCCCCTTCTTGCGATTAAAGACAGCCATTAAAATGTTTAATAGTCCTTGGTTTGGCTTAAAGACTTGCAAAACCGCCAGCTTCATCGCCCTGCAATTGGCTTTCCAGGCTAAGGTAGGTTTCCGATGTACGGATACTGCCAAGGCGCTTTGGCCGCAAACTCTGGAAGGAAGCCAAAGGAAAGTGAAGTTCTTGGCGCTAAGCGCTTGTCCCGCTCAAAGAGCCCGGCGCTAGCGCATTCTTCGTGCAGTTATTGGCTGGGACTCTGCGTGCCGCTGTCGGCCAATGAAGACGCTGGAGATCTGGCCCCGGCCCGTCCCCTCTCCGCGCCCCGGGATGAGGCAGAGACTGAACAGCCGGCGAGCAAATCAACGGCATCCAGAAAGCCATGTCGGACTCGGCGCCCAGCGCCCAAGCGCTAACCCGCTGAAAGTTTCTCAGCGAAAACGCCAGGACGATCTGGACCCCGCTAAGAGGAACTGCCTTTGAGTGAGATGGTCCCAGAGGCCTGGAGGAGCGGACTGGTAAGCACCGGGAGAGTGGTGGGAGTTTTGTTTCTGCTTGGTGCCTTGCACAAGGCTTCCGCCGTCATTCGCTATGAGATCCTGGAGGAAAGAGAGAAGGGTTTTGCGGTGGGCAACGTGGTCACGGACCTTGACTTGGATCTCCGCAGCCTGTCAGCCCGCAGGCTTCTGGTCGTGTCCAAAGCTAGCCGAAGATTCTTTGAGGTTAACCGGGAGACCGGGGAGATGTTCGTGAACGAGCGCCTGGATCGAGAGGAGCTTTGTGGGACCCTGCCCTCCTGCACCGTAACTCTGGAGTTGGTAGTGGAGACTCCGCTAGAGCTTTTCAGTGCGGAAGTGGTAATCCAGGATATCAACGACAACAATCCTGCTTTCCCTCCCCGGGAAATGAAATTGG